ATAAATGTTTACACGCCACAATGACATAGCAAATATGGGGGAAAATGTGAGATGTGCCTGGGGCAGTACATTCATCTGATTAATAAAAATTCTGTCCTTTAGTTCGTTAGTTATTTATTTAAAACCATCCATCGGCAGCCTACATGTCGTATTTAAGGATTTTGTGACCACAGATACATTTACACGTTCACACTTAAATACAAAACGTCACCTTAATTAAGACAATGGAAGTATGAAAAATTAAGAGCTATGGCAAGTTATCGATTCAAAAATGTGCCTCCCCCCCCCCTCATGAAAGCTTGAAAGCTTTACTTGATGATTTTGCCATTATTCTACCATCTCCCTCCTACGAGCGCTCGTCTTTTCATATCATTACACAAAGTCAAACAATCATGAAAAATTGCGATATTCCTGCCAGAATCTCTCCTTCGCGCTTTTTTTCTAAATGTTTTGCGGTGGAATATTCATTAGAATTCCGTTACCAAAGTTGAAAAATATTGGTCCCATGATGTAATACCGACAATGGGTGTTCGCTCATGTTAACAAGGTAATGTAGCGCAGTGAATATTCAAACACCTCCCCCCCCCCTCAGCATCACCATTCGTCACATTAGACTTTAACGCATTCGAACAAAAATCAGCAAACAGAAATATATTCAGATGGATCACCAATGAGAAAATGCATGACAAGTGCAATCATACGACATGTAGGCTGCCGATGGATGGTTTTAAATAAATAACTAACGAACTAAAGGACAGAATTTTTATTAATCAGATGAATGTACTGCCCCAGGCACATCTCACATTTTCCCCCATATTTGCTATGTCATTGTGGCGTGTAAACATTTATGTTCGGATGAAATCATGCGTATATATTTTCTCGTACGACGTGTGAGGTACACTGAAAAAACTTGAAAATATACGGCACGAGTAGATCTTAGGGAGAATAATACAAAATAAATTAAAATAACTCAGAAAAAAAAAAAAAAAAAAAAAAATCCATAGTCCCTTGAAAAGTGGTTTTAAGTAATTTTTAAGGTCAGAAATGGAATGTACGCGAAAAATTACATAAGCAAACATGTTATGGATGACATCGAAGCGAAGATTTGGCGAGGAACAGCCGCGGAATGAGCGCGCCGCCAGCCGCTCAACCCCCACTTTCACCCCCTAGCGCCTTGAAAAGTGGTTTTAAGTAGTTTTTAAGGTCAGAAATGGAAAGTAGGCCAAAAATTACATAAGAAAACATGTGATGGATGACATCGAAGCGAAGATTTGGCGGGGAACAGCCGTTGAAAGAGCCCGCCGCTGGCCGTTCAACCCCTATTTTCTCCCTTTAGCGCCTTGAAAAGTGGTTGTAAGTAATTTTTAAGGTCAGAAATGGATAGTACGCAAAAAATTACATAGAAAAACATGTAACGGGTGACATAACAACGAAGATTTGACGAGGAACAGCCGCGGAAATAGCGGACGCCAGCCGCTCAACTCCCCCACTTCACCCCCCTGTATCTCCGAAACCGCTTTTCAACTCAAGCTGAAATTTTTACCGGAGACTTAGGGCATCATATGCAACAATTTGGCGCAATTCCCGTTTGCAAAATCGAGGGCCTAAAAAGGGGCGAATTTCGACCCATTTTTAACAAGGCTCTTTCAACGCCATTTTGAAGAATTTTTAAGCTATTTTGCGAACTTTTGAGCCACAAACTTATAAATAAAATACACAAATTTTGATGTAAAGTTTCCTAATCGGATAGAGAAGCTTTAAAAATTGTAAGTAGTTGCCTTTTATGCTGAGTAACTTATTTTACCCATAAAAAACCCTTAGAACCAAAAGAGGAACTGGAAAAATAAGATAATCTAAAAATAATTTGAAAAGTAATCTAACCTCCGTCATCAAATGAACAAGTTTTTAGCTAATCATATGAGTTGGTAATTTACCACTTCACAATGTCAATTATGTTTCCATGAGCAATATATACTTATTTAAAATGCTATTATCTTTCAGACATTCGTGCCAACAATATTAGGCCACGTACCAGCAGGGGCCTCCTCGAAAACTCTAACACATTTCGTGCAATGTATGCAGAGAGGTGAGACCCCCATCTTCTCTAGATTCCCCTCATTTTTAACCTGCTATTTACCTTGTAAATTGCCGGAGAATTATTGTTCAAGCATCAGGAAGTAAATCGTCATTTTGGAATTTACTGAACTTGAATGATACCGATTTAAAAGTTTGATTAAGACAAGGTACCTCAAAGTCCACCCTAATGATTTTTCGCACCGTATGAGAAAATCCACAATCCTGTTAATTATATTCATGTTTAATGCTAGACTGAGTAAAAACTGCTGATCTTCCGTCGCACTCAGAAAGTGCGTAAGTATGTGGAGCAACAGAGGAATATAGTTGGAGCATCCAACGAAAAAGCTACCTTTTTATTCCGTCGCATCCATTTGGATAGTCTATTATTATTTCGTCGTTCCCCAAGCGAGAAAACGTAACTTCATTCCAACATTGCAAAATTGAATCAAATACTCCGATTTTTGTATGAATAGGAATGTACAGTTCTTTCCCATTTTTTTACGATTTTTCCGTTGGTTTTGGGAAAAAATCAGTGAAATATCTCAGTAGAAACACCTAAGAATTTTCTGATCAAAATATGATGCCGAGGCATCGTTAAAATTTGGTTACGCCTGTTTGCCTAAAAAATGATGATTCGATTGTTTTAACACAGTTAATGTAATGAGATTGGCACCGGATTTTCCTTTCTCTGCACATGTTTTTTTATTGCAGCTTAAATTCATGCAGCCTTCAATTTAAAATTCTATAAAATAAGCTACCTCCAAATGAATCGGCGCTGGTGGGTAATACAATTGAAGAGTGATTTCAAAGCTGGTCCAGAATTAGACTTGATTGAGGCATGAGGCTGCCAATCATGGACCATGCTGGGTCCATTGCCTTTGAAGTGTTTAGCGCCTCGGACACTGAGTATGTGCTTAGCATTGAGCAATACTACTCGAAGTTTCAATACTGCATCCAACAATATTCCAAATTGAATTTGAATTTCGCAACGGGTCACATTCCATCACACCGTGGCTCATAACCAAGCTGCCAACCTTTTTGCGAGATAGTTATTTAAACTTAAATTTTTCGAAGATGATTGCGCGTGAAAGTCTAAAGCAGTGCTAAGTCACAGCCATAAATTCAGCATGGGTTATTGTAAGATTTGATTTATTTTTTCGCAGCTTAAATACGACAAAATCATTAGAGTATTCAAGTCGTCATTTCGTTTTTGAGCCTCGTCATTGTTTGAATATGCAGAAAATACTTTAGACATTCTATAATTGGTTACATATTTTAGTAAGTTATTCCACCACCCCACAATAGAACTTCATTGTCTTTCATCTATGTTTAAATGCTCAGGAACAAACACAGAAAGGCGAACATTTCGGTACTGTTGCTATTGCAAGAGTGATTAAATTTTCAAAAATTGAGAATTTGAGTTTTATAAATTAGGATAACAATTATCATAATACGACGATAAAACCAAATAATCTACCTTTACGCAATTTACAGTAGTAAATCGAAAATTGTCCATGCAAAATAACGCAATTTCCTCAGAATCTTGCCTAAAGGGTACCTCTCTTTTTTTCTATAATTTGTTTGTCTCTCATCCGATTATTTTCTATTGCCACTTTTGGTAATGGAAAATTTGCAGGTGTCTGCAATTTGAATTTGATTTTGTCTGCATTTGAATTGCATCTTAATCAATAGACTGAGAACGAGAATATGCTTGTTTTCCAGAATAAACAATTATTAGAAAAGATATGGCAAAATTACCTACTTTGCAAAATATGTGTATGTGTTTAAACGGGAAATGCCGCCTAACGACGTCACAAGGTGATAGATTTTTTCAATCTTAAATCTATTTTTTTTTTCAGTTCCCTAAATCGGAAAAATATTGTGAAAAATCACTCTCAAGTGCAGAAACATTTTATTAGGGGAGGGGGGGGGTGCAAATAGTCATTTTACCTTGGGGTCGTTTTTATATTCAATTTAATATGTAAATGCTCATAAACCCAACGTTCATTTTTCTCGAGCTCGTAATGTCAAAAGAAAATAACATATACTCCCAGCTAACATGCATAATGAATAATGGTACATTGCGCTACAAAATTGATGTTAGAACATTCATAAACGCATCGCTAAAATTGATCTGTTTCAGACCTAACTTTTGGCCAATACGACTACGGGTGGTACACAAACCGGCAAGTATACAAGAACACGAGGCCACCGCAGTACAACTTACAGAATATTCAAGTCCCTGTTATCATGTTCCATAGTGATAATGACTGGATGTCGACGCCGAAAGTGAGTAAAACTATAAAAAATTATAGTTAGGTTTCTAGATTTAGATCACTTAGCAATCAGTAACACACAAGACAGGATACACCGAGATTCATGATTTTATTTTCGAAATGGAGTTTTCTGACTAAGATGTGCGATTCAATTTTTAACCTAAATCTTACCAAAAAGCTCGATCATTGAAATTCAATCAGCTTGATTCTATACCACGATACTTCTAGGGGTGGGTGATAGCAGACTGTTTTTGCTATCTATGGGTAGCTTAACGAAGCAGAGGAATATAAAGCAGAAAGTTACTGACCGAGCATTTTTAAAGAATGTTGAGTTCACGTAAAAAATTACTCATATTTTTCTACCATGTCATTCGCTCCTCTATTGTAATGCTTCCATCAGTAGACATAGAGGTAACTCAGTCTGTCTAATTTTTCTATAGAAAAAGAAGAGAACAGATTATGTGCTGTATTTGAACAGAAGTGAGGATTTGGAACCAGATTTGCGTTTTTTTCTAAGAGTGGTTCAGCGTATTATTACAAAGTCTCGTGAGTGATCGGTCAGCGTTGAAAAGGCTGTAATTTTAAAATTTCTTGATTCTGCGACGCGACGTCCATAATTAAATTTAGCTAATAAGCTAGTTTTACTACATTTTATGCCTCACGAGCCTTGTTTAAACAATTGAGTTTATTTTAATGTCCACGGATAACAGAAGAATTAGTGTTAAGAGTCCGCACTTACGGTCTAGGTTTTCAATTTTTTTTAGGATTAAGGCTAAGTGGAATCTATCCCATCAGATCCAGACGTCAAAGTCGTAAACAATTTTCGATACCACTGGGACTTCAATCCAAAGGAGGGGTTACTCTCCTGGAGTCTATGTACATTGCATGTAAAAACCCCTCCCGTCTCAAAATTAAAAGGGGAAAGATCGAAGTCATGAAAACACGACGAAAGGCAATAGCGTCGAAAAATACCCAATCAAGTGCTCGTGTAATTTCTTATTTAATCATTTATCTCGCATTAACTTGCAAATATCCTATTTTAATTGTATAACTGTGTTTCAGGATGTGAATAATTTGGCGGAGAGATTGCCAAACTTGGCTGGAAAATTTAAAATTTCCTCCTTCAACCACTTGGATTTTATGTGGGCAGTCTCAGCGAAAGCTATGATCTATAACAGAATCGTTGAAATGATGGACAGTTATAATGATCTCTAGTCACAAAAGTTGTAATTTTTAAGAAAAATGTGATTTTAACATAAGTCAGCTCTCAAAATATTTGAATTGTTCCTTAATAAAAATGGTTGGGTATCGGCGACTCACGAAGAGTCCCTGTGAATCTAATACAGATGGACACCATATACACTGCCTTAAGGTATTGAGATGTTTTACTCTCACCAGAATTTGTAAACACGATATGAAAAAAAGGGCGAACTGTAGTCTTTTAAAGATTGTTAATATTAGAAAACCATTTTGATTTATGTGTATTTTCTCAGGAAATCTAAGGGTGAAAAAAATTCTGTCTCCTCAAGTTTTGTGTAAGGATGAGGATTATTTTCGTTTTACCAAACCAAACTGAATAGCAAAAAAAAAAGTGTTGTATATCTCCTTCATGGCTTATAAATTACTCGCCGAATTTCTTTTAGACTTGGGTTAACAGAATTCGTAGTCTGTATTTAAATAAAATATTGAAGACTTGGGTGAAAAAAGGGGACTTCTCTACAATGTTTCAGAATGCATTTTTTGCGAGAAACTATGGATCATTGAATTTGAAATTTCTGCCAAAAATATCACGCATTAAAAGTATTCTTAGGCACATTTCTACTGTAAGTATTTTTTTGTAAAGAGTAAAAATGTAGAAGAAAATGCTGAAACACTGAAAATGAGAACAACATGAGTTTGAACATTCTGAAAGAAACAATACATTAAAATTAGAGTTAGTTAAACCCCCATACAGCTTCATTAAAGTATCTACTTGCACACTGCTCGTATGCGTGATGCTGATAGGCATGCATTTGATTGGTTTCGAAATAATTGATCCTATAACAATAAACTAGTTTGTTTGAAGAAAGAAAATGTAACGATGCCATATTTTGTGATATTCCTCTGATGTTTCATCAAATCCGCTGATTACGATTATAAATTCCGGGTGTAAAATTATTAAATTGATTAAAAATAAAAGAGCTAAGCGAAACAGTCACACTTGCATTGCGTTGGTTTAAAATAGCATTTTCTATTTTATTTTTTTGGAAGGGAACCAATCAGCAAGCATCCTCACCAGAAAATTGATGCAATTTTTCTTACCTATGTGCAGATTATTTCCGCAAAATGTTAAGCGAAAGTGTTTCTTTCTTCTCTTCTAAAATATGAACATAGAAAATGATATTTTGAAACACCGCAATGCGAATGTAACTTTTTGTCTTACTCTCTCCAAGTAGTACATTGCAAAAAGTTCAGTTCTGCAAGTCCATCGCAGGAGCAAGACAATTGTCGAGGTTCAACAAATTCGTTCAAAGTGGGCACCCAAGTGTGAGGGAGTCTGTAATGTTTTTGAAAACTTATTTACTTTGAGAAGTCCTCAAAAATATAAAAAAAAAAATCCATATATCTCCTATCCTAAATCTCCTTCCAAGTTCACAACGCACTCCAAAACCTCAAATATAATATTAGCAGAAAAGGAATATTTATTTTTTAAATATCTATACATATGAACAGTAATTGATAACACTTGTATATAATGTATATATTTTAATTTGTAAATAAAAACATGTTTTCATTAAAGTTTTGTTTAATTTTAATTCGGTCATAGCCAAGAATATTGTAAGCATGACGCGCAATTGATGGTAAAACTAGAAAATCTAGTTCCTCCTCATTCAAAGGACCGCAAACTTGTCCGTCAGTATTTCAGTTTTGGGAATTCAGACGCTATTAATTCTTGAAACTCCGCACAATACTAATATGTATGTACTCTATCAAAAAATATATACTTCTACTATATAGTTGTCCTAACTATGTATGGATTGTAAATACAAAACTTCGTATATAAGGATCGGCTAATTCTAAAAAAAGAAAAAAAAGGCCAGAAATTCCGAAATGCTACGATTCAGAGAGGAAGTTTCTTCTCCTATATCTTTGTTGCAGGTTGTAGCATTACCGACGAAAGACTTTTCTACATACATTATAAACTGTAAGAAAAATGTCGATGTTATAAAAAACATAAACTGCTGCCAATTTCTTGGTAAGAAATGAAAACAAATAAAAATAAAGGCCGCAAAATGAGCAAAATCGTTTCTTAAAATTCTTAAAATATTAAAATCAACAGCATCGGCTCGTCAAGTTCATCGAAAATAAATAAAATAAGTCAGAGAATTGATTAAACCATTTCAATATAAACTTAAAACTTTGAGATCAGCAAAATTAAAAATACGAATAAAATCTGCTGGTAAAATTACAATCGATCAGCAGAGAAGATGTGAGTTATTGGAAATTTCACGTAAAACACGATTTAGGCCATAAAAATTGCAGAAATTGACATGTAACCAAGATACTTAACGTTTTTCGACCCAAAAATTTAAACTTCCTGCTTAAGAAAAAACTAAACAGTACCCATACGCGAGTCAAATTGCGTCGTAAATATCATCATAACCGTCCTTGCGGTATGAAAATAGGTATGGCAACCTTGATCTCAGTGCTCGGGCTCAGCTGACGCACGTTGTTCACACCTTGAAAAACACAGGGCGGGGAATTAATATCCCTCATCTAGGACGCGTGCCAAAACCGTTGTTGTGCACGTTTTGATTCAATTAGACTTTTGTTTTTCTTATAAGCGGGGAATTTAAAATCCATATAACAAATGTAAACTAAAAACGTTAATATCTTAATTAGAAGTTTATTTTATTGTCTGAATCGTATTCTACGTGATATTAAGAGAAATGTTTTATTGGTCCATTATGGGTTGCGAACTGCCAAAATGATTGACTAACGCTTGGAGACTTAGACGCTTGAGTAGAAAGATAAACCAACCCGTTAAAATTCCTGTAAATTGCCGAACAAATTCAGGGAGCAATAAATAGTTGATAACATGATAAATGATTATCCCAACGATGTCATCAATTGGTATACCTCCAAATGGCATCATCAACAGGTAACTTCGACAACGTCGCTAACCTGTCTCGCCGCTGACGCCGTCAGCCCTTTCAGCTAGCAGGGTCAAGCCCTGAGACGAGCGGCTGTCGAGGCGTAAATAATCGAGTATCGATATATTTTCCCATTTAAAGCTATGGCAAAGAATCGATTATTAAGGTGTTCGTTGCGAACACCCTGTTTATCGATCCTTTTCCATAGGTTCAAATGGCAGATCAGTCGATATATCGCAAAGCACGCCACGCCAGTGATAACTGGATCTTTAGCCCCAAAATCAGGTTATCAGGGTACAAGTAAGGTCTGATTTTTATGTGCTCACCAACCCATCATAGCTCTCCTCACCGCGATAGCCCGTTATAGATTATAAGCGAATTTTCGCGATCGAATGTCATTCATCAAACGAATTGATCAGTGCTGAGTGATGCCGATGATCGGTGATGTCAGGAGCCAATCAGAGCTCAGATTTTTTTCCTAAATGAAATTAAGAAGAAAATAAGAAAACACGAAACACTAAAACACAGAAATTGCGAAAACACCAGACTTGAATTGACAAAACACAACAACAGATAGATATGACAGAACAAAAATTTTGGTGAGAGATGAAGTTTCTGACATCGATTGCATCAATTCAAAAATCGAATTCAAGTCCCGAGGTGAATTCGAAATTTCAAATTGATGGATTCCAACGGTCTCTGGTGAGACCAACGAAGAAGTCGAATATCATTGAAAAAAAATGCACAATCGTCGAATATCATTCAACAGTGAATGATATTCGATCGCGAAAATTCGCTTAAAGACTAAAGTTTTCTTTCACAGCGTGAAGATACATTACCGCGGCATTTAGAAGGCTACTGAGCTGAGCTGAAACAGTGACGTCTGAAAATGACGGATAATTTTCAACGTAACTAGTTATTAATGCCGGCAGATCGATCTGTCCGTTACGTCAGCTCCGAGTTTTGACGAGAGCCAATAAAATTTACTTCGACGAAACTAGCTCGCCTGCGCGGCGATTAGAGCTCTTCCTGGTATCCTGGTTTTGTGAAACTGCAAGGTCGACAAATAGTTCAGAGACCTCCCTAACGACCAGTGGTGTGGCGTGAATTACGATGTATCGATTATTATGCCATTTAAACGTATGGTAAAGAATCGATTATTAAGGCGTTCGCTACGAACACCCTGTTTATCGATCCTTTTCCATAGGTTTAAATGGAATAACAATCGATACATCGCAGTTTACGCCACGCCATTGCTAACGACTCTTTCGAGCACAGAAATGTTGCCATCGTATCGTGAAAATCTGTGAGTGAGAATTGCCTCGAAAACTCGTTGAATTAATGAAAAAGAAGAATAAGTGGAACTGGCTCAACGGAACTTTTGAGTTGTTGGATTACCTCATGCCAAATTGCAACGAAACGTGCTTTTCGAAAAAAATTACAAACTAGTTACAGGGCATGCTTAGTAATGTCTCACGCGTGAAAAAATTATAAAATGAGTCACATACTTGAAATTGGTTATCCTAAACGTGATTCATCACAGTGATGCAAACATTTATTCGTTGCTGCTGCTGATTTCAGTTGAGGAAATCTAGAAGGGCTAGTAGAGTTCATCTCATCCTTCTTCTTTCATTCACACCATATTTCCCTTCCATTCTCAAACCATTATTATAAAGATTATAACATTGATATTGCAATGTCACCTTTTCGTCAAATGCATCTATTTAACGTACATTCATTCACTCTCGTCAAACAATTTGAATATTTCTGTCCAAATCGGCAACAGTGCGGCAGCGCGAACTTCCCACACAAGATTTTTGTCCATTTGTGAGATATCACAAGTATTTGCGTTTCATTAATAAACATTAACTGTTTAAGAATGAACGGTAATGTGTGCATTACCTCGCGAAATATCTAATAATGTCTGCATAAAGGGAACTTTGGTCGTGTATTAATATTCAATAGCGCTACTTTTTTTGTGTGCGTGTACTTTTTCAGGAAGTACCGTCAAAAAAAGAAGAAACACTAATCAGTGCAATGACGTCATGATTTGGCAACTCAAGCGAAGTAAAATTTACACTCTGCGTATTATTCTTTAGTAGGGAAAAAGTCACGAAAACACATACACGCGATGGGCGCGGCACCTTCAAATAATAAATAACGTGTATTGTGTTCTATTATTCAAATTTAACGCAGTGCTTTCCCTCTCTCGAAACTTACATCCCGTTGGTTCTTTCCTCAAAAGGTCTCGATTTTAAAAGTGGAACTATGAAATCGTGCATTTCATGACTGTGCTGCAAAATTTTCGCTCCTGCTTCACTTTTGAAACGAAGTTTGCTCCTCATTTTTGTAAGACATTTTTTTAACATTTTGAAAATGTAAGGAAAAATCACATGAAAAGAGCTTTAAACATTATTTAGGGTGAGATCTGCAACGTCGTAAACCTGAGGGGTCGTTCATAAAGTACGCAGGGGTGGATGCATCAGCGATTTGGCAACCTAGGATTTCTTCCATTTAAATCTATTTTAAATAATAAATTCTTGGCGGAACTCCTGGCCCCTTTCAAGAATCGATACATTTCCATAGGTTTAAATGGAGAAAAAACAATGTTGCCAATGTGTTGGATCCGCCAATGAAAGTACGAAAAGCTCTAAGGGGATAGAGGGGTCGAAGAGAGCGTTACGTCATTTCGTTTTTTACGTTAAAGGATGAGGTATGGGGGCCTACGTCACAAAAGCTTCACATGAAGGGGCGAGAGGCTAAAAAAAAGTCGAAAAAGTGCGTTTTATAATATATGAACGCTCTTTTATATATGGTTCTGATATTTCACCATCGATTTCATCGGGCTAACTAGCCAAATTATGCGAAGTCACTGAAAGTTAGTTAGTTGGTATAATTTTAAGACATTCAGCGTCTCAGGCTATTAACGTCTTTACAGATAATTTTGAAAATGAGAGTATATACGAAAATTTAGATTTTTAAATTAAGAGAGGTGAAGAGTTTCAGAATTTTGGTAGTAATATTGGGTTCATCGCATGTAAGTGGGTTTGTATTTCTGTTGATTGTAGGGGAGTAGAAAGTAGACCGAAGAAAAGGACCATTTTATATCCATAAACTCAAACAATTTATGAGATGCATCTTATGCCACATTTTGCGAGGAGCTCCGCAATATTTTGAAGTGCTTCAATGGAATCAACCGACTGATACGATCGCTAAGATTAATTGCAGTGCGGATATTTGAAGCCACAGGACCGGTGGTAGCGCGCCAGCATCCTTGAATCGGCACCCAATCAGTTATCATTGCTTGCCTCTGCGTATTCATCAAAACCCCATTAGACTAGTGATAAAAATATAGGCTTGTTCTTAATATGCTGATATTATGGGCTGGATACTACGCACCTGGCGTAAATATATATAACCTCCTCGCATTCTAGAAATTTCGAATGCGTAAGAACGGTCTCATCAAATTGAAAAGAGAGATATTAGTTAATGGATTTGCAAAGTAGATTGCGTGCATTTATTTGTCGCAGATGCATGTAATGTTTAGAAATGATCTGAGCCCGATTAGGATTATTTTCTTCCTATCGGCGTGATTCAAAAAATTCAAACTGCACACATAATAAAAAAAAAATGTCTT